TTTTTTTTCAATCAATATGTTTATTGTACTAAAAATAACTTAATGTAACTACATGTCACTGTAGTAAACTACAATAATTCATAGTTATGTTCTTTTTTTTTACCTCATATTTTTTAGTCGATCAATTATATACACACATGAATATTGGCTTATACCAAAGAAATTCATAAACCCCAACAAAAAAAATTTACAAATTTCAATAATTTTATTATAAATCACCTCACAACAAATAAAATACAAATCGAATATACACAAATATATGCATATGTAACGACATGTTATTATATGTAACTAGTAATGTATAGTAATATATAGTAATGTACAGTAATGTATACAGTCTGTTGAACATTGTAACTTGAAGCAGATGTAACTTCAACCAAATTTTTGACATCTTCAATTAAGGAGATAGATCAATGACTTTCATTAAGCTACAAATTAAGGAGATAGATCAATGACTTTCATTAAACTGCAAAGTCAAAACAAAAAAAAAATTATTTTAGTGCAAATCAACAAATTTTGAAAAAACATCAAAACACTCAAAAATCAACAAACACTAAGACATCGAGAGATAAAGAGAGAGATTATAGTTGGGAAATGCTACAAATTTTAAACCAAACAGCCAGTGACTCCTCACCCCAATCGCCTCCTACCAAAACCCTAGCCGCCGCTGATAACCACCCACGGTTCCGTGGCCACAAATGAAAACATTTATAGAAATAAATCTGACAACATAAAAATGAACGAAATTATCATCAAAATATAGATCTCGACGAGAGGAATCCAACGGTGGGTAGCTCGTCAAATTTCGAAGGGTGGAACACAAAATACACCTCCGGCAAAACCCCCCTGTCATCGAAATATGCGCCGATTGAAAACAAATTGCAGAAACAGATCTAGTGCTCCAAAATGAATAAAATCATCACTAAAAGAAAAGAGCTTGACGAGAGGAATCTAACGGTAGGTAAACCATCGAATTCCGACCACCGGAGAGAGAGTTATGACTTCGGGAAGCAACTTCGCCAGTGGGAGATGTATGGATGCGGGATTTAAATCTGAGATGTGAGAGAGGAAGAGAGAGAAATCCACTTGGTGTTCTACATAATTTGGAAATGAGCGGGTCTGCAAAATTATCCCTTATTTTTTTTCTTTTCTTCTTCTTCTTCTTTTTATTCCCTTCCACTACTAACTTTTCTCCCCTTTTTTATAGCCGTTTTTAATTATTTTTTTTCTGTTACTTAACAAAAATTATTTTTTTATGTTTCTACGAAACTTCACTTAATATTTTCTTCAAACATACTCATTTTCAGTGTCACGCGTTTAATTATTATTTTATTTTTGACTTTTGGAATATGAAGAAATACTAGTTATATAAAACTCACTACTAAGGGGATTACACTAGACATGGCCACGGGCCGAGTTTGACCCGGACCCGCCCCGTTGACTGCCCCACCCCCGTCCCGTTGACCACGGACCCGAGACCCGGCGGAGGGGCCGTTGACCCGGGCCCGAGGACCCGTCGGGTCAACCGGGATTTCAGGTTTTTTTTGTCCAAAAATTGGGGTTTAGGGGATTTGAACTCAGGTATGTGGGACGAATTTGAGCAACACCGACCACTGAGGCAACGAACACATTTGACTAAATGTACACAATAAATATATATAATATAAAACGCTAGTGTAAAATGATAAATATGTTAAATAAATTATTAATTTTCATATTAATTATTATTAAATAATTTTAATTAAATTATTAACAAATGCAATATAATAAACTTTTGAAAATATATATAGAATCACGGTTCAATACTTCAAAACATCTATTATTAATTACTATAACAATATAATCTCCACGGTTGAAAAATATAAAGTATTGAATCAATTCAATATATAAACAAACGCGTTGACTTAATACAACCTCACTTATGTTATTAAAATCGATAGTGTGAAAAATTCGAATGAAAAATAAAATAAGATTTTTATTTAAAAAAATAAATTATAACTCATTTCAATTAATTTAAATTGATTAGCCTCAATTGTTGACAAGAACTTATTAAATTTATTGATTATTTAATCATAAGATAATTATTTAAAAATATAGATGATGTTTATTTTAACAAAAATAGATTATATCTCTAACTAATTAATTTTTTACTTTAAAAATAAAACTATATATGACGAGTATAATCAAAATATTATGATGTGATTTCTCCTTTAATAATTGGTTTAATTTGTAAAATCGTAAGAATTAAATCGTACGTCATACGATTTAATCATTTTTTTAACATTTACATTTTATTCAAATATTAGAATCGAATCGTAAGATTTAAATGAATTAAGCTCAAGTCCTTTCAATTTTTTTAATTTTTTTTATTACATTATATTTTTTAATAATTTAATTAAAATTATTTAATAATAATGAATATGATAATTAATAATCTATTTAACATTATTTATTATAATCATTTTACACCTTTTGTTTATGTTATATATATTCCTTGTTATAATAATCCTAACTATAAATATAAATAACACTGTAAAATGATTATAATAATTGTATAACTAATGTTTTATAAATTATTAATTGTCATGTTGACTATTATTAATATAAAAAATCTCGACTAATAACGAATGCATGTATATTTAATTTTGAAAAATATAAAAAAAAAAAACGATTTAATTTAAAAGAAAGATTGAATTTTGATATTTTTGGACCCGGACCCAGACCCGACCCGACCCGCCCCGTGGCCATGTTTAGATTACACTCTGGTGCAAATCTCCAATTTTGTTTTTTTTTAATAATTTAACATATCCTCTGGGCCAATTTGAAGTACATAAAATGCCTTTTTAAATCAATTTTAAACCTTAAGGCAACTCATAGCGGTCTCTCTCTTCCTCTCTCAACTCCCAGATCTAAATGCCGGCCCCAAGGTCTCCAACTGGCAATGTTACTTCCCGGAGTCATAGTTGTCTCTTAGGTGGTCGGAATTTGGTAGTTTAACTGTTGAATTCCTCTCGTCGAGCTCTTTTTTTTTTTTTTTTTTTTTGTGGTGATTCCATTCAATTTGGAGCACTGGATCTGTTTCTGCAATTGTTTTCAGTCGGCCCATATTTCAACGACGGTGGGTCTTACCGGAGGAGTAATTTGAGTTCCGGCAGTCGAAATTTAACAGCTACCCACCGTTGGATTCCTCTCGTCGAGATCAGTATTTTTATGACAATTTCGTTTTTTTTTTTTATTGTAAATTTTGTTTCTATAATATTTTCTCATTTGCGAGCGCGGAACCTCGGGTGGTTGGCGGCGCGGCGGCTTGGATTTTTGTAGGAGGAACTTGGGGTGAAGAGTCATTCGCATTTTGGCTTAAAATTCGTAGGGCCTCCGTATTCATTAAAAAAAACACAATTAGAAAGCCCTTATTCCAAAATGCAAAAAATAGTTCATCAACTAAAATAGCTTTAACAAATAACAACCCACTTTAAGTTTAATTGGTACAATTAATAGAACCTAATAATAGTAAACAAATTATTTCAAAAATATATCCGATCTCTTTCCTTTGTATATAGTCTGTCTTTGTCCATAAAACATTAAATATTTTCTTATAATAACTCTTTATAACCGATCCGAGGTTTTCTCTTGGATTTCAATTGATGACAATGTCATATAATGAGGATAAATTCTCGTCGAAAAGAATGCGTAAAAATATGGAGGTAAAATAAGAAGTTGATCGAATATTGAAAGTGGAGTATGGTAATATTTTGGAAGGAGTTATGAATCACCCTGCTGGATAAAATCTCAATGAGGCTGTTGATACACTGAATTTTTTTCAATAATCTCATTGGAACCGAGTTAATATCACTTGGCAAGGGGAATTGGATGGTTTATTTATGTAAGATATGAAAATCTTTTGAGAAAACAAGAATCTCACAGTGTTCTATAGGGAAATTAAATGATGCATCTGTTTATTTACATTGAGCGGATTCAAACCGTAAATCTACACATAATCACACACACACACACACACACACACACACACACACACACCTATGTGTATAATATGTGTTTAGTAGATAGTTATTTAATCAAATTTACGGTTTAAATCTACTCAGTATAAATAATTAGATGTAACATCTAACTCCCCATATTCAATATTATTTCTCATTTATTTCTTGTTAATTTACAGTTAAATGAATATGCTAATTAATTATTTATCAAAATCAACCCCCAAAAGTATTTAATATGCTTTAAAATAACATCAAAATTTCTCCACAAATTTTTGTATCTACATGATGGTATTCCAACAAAAGAGTTAGTATGTTTGAAAACAAATACTCCCCATCACATATTATATGTCCCTTTTTTTTTTTTTAATAGTTGTGCATATATTAAGAAATTAATTAAATATGTATAGATTATAGCAAAACAATATATTACACTACTCTTGTAATCAATTGTTTTTCAACTAAATAATTCATATAAAAAATAAAATGAAGAGGGCATTTTGATAATAATAAACTCATAATAATAAGAAAACAATAAATAAATAAATAAATTAGACCTACAGATCACTTTATTTTTGCTGTGGAAACTACCAAGCATGGATCCATCCCTCTAAAGGAGAACAAGTTCATCTCCCCCACCCTCAATAACTAAAATTAAATTAATTAATCAAACTACTTAATTTAAGTTAATAAAATCTGTAAATGTTAAATTATTCAAAATAAATAAAACAAATCATCAGACTGTTGGACTCAGAGAAGGAGTAATGTCTTGAAAAACTCTGAGCCTCTTCTTATCAACCTTGCTCCGCTGACGTAATCCGACGTCATCACCATCATGCCCTAACACCGCCGCAATTATCGCATCCTGAAAATCATCACAGTCCGGCAGCAACAAATCAGCCCAATTCCCCTCGCTCGATTTTCGCATTTTATTTTCCGGCTCCAAATTCGCCACATTTCCTCCGGATCTCGTCCTCTTCAGACTCTCCGACGACGACGAAGAAGATTCCTTCGCGAATTTCGCCGAGAAGAACGGCTGCGCGTCGATATTCAGTGAATTCACCATCGACGAAGGAGGCGGCGGAGGAGGAAAAGCGCCGCCGCCGCCGAATTTCTTCAATTGGTGGTGGTTGTTGTTTTTGGTCGGAGCAATGTTGTTGGAGTTTACATTCTCGTCGCCGAAAACATCATCTTTACTGGCGGCGGCGGTGGTGGTGGTGGTAAGGTGGTGGTGCTGTTGGTCCTTGCACGGCTGAGGCTGCCAGATGGCGGAGGAGCCGAGGAACGCATCGAACAGCTTACTCTGCTCCACACGATCGCAGCCAACTCTACTCATCATCTCCGATTCGAGATCTCTGAGCATCTGCTGCGCTCGTTCGTAGGCCTTCAGATGAGAATCGACGCCACGTGGCCCATCGGAAACCGCCGGCTTCACTCGCCGGAGATTCTCCTTCGCCTCCCCGATTCTACCCTGCTTCATTAGACAGATCCCCAAATTGCACATCTTGTTGTTATCCGGTGCTAGTAGTAGCGCTCTCCTGTACGCTTCCTCCGCTTCTATGTAATTGTTCTGCTGCATCAGCGCCCACCCTAAGTTTCCCTGCACCGCCATTCACAAAATTAAATCTCAAAATTAAAAAAAAAAAACTTTTTAATTAATTTTTATTATTTTGGTTACCAGCAAACGAGTGGCCTCTTGCTCGACGGAAACTTGAAATTTCTTGCCCTGAGATCGGGCGGTTTTGGTGCGCTTGCCATTGAAGGCCATTCCTTGCTGAATAAGATACAGTTTGTGCTTCAGCAGTGATATTTGATCATCCAATCTCCCACATCTCTGCAACATTTATTAATTTTAATTAATATTTTTTTTTATAATTAATTACTAGTAATAAATTTGATTCTTCGGAAAAAAAAAAAAGTGATGTACCTTGTAAAGGTCAAGCAAGATATTGTCGAGAGATTCCTGCGCTTGATCCGAACATCGGCTCCGCAACGACTTGATGGCTTCAATCGCTTCCTCGGCTCGATTCTGCTGCTTCATCACAATCGCCATGTCTTTTAGAGCACTGTCCACTCTGTCTCCGGCGTTTATCGCCGACCAGAACAACGGTATCGCCCTCTCCGGATCTTTATCCACCAGCTTTTTTTTTTTAATTTTAAACAAAATTAGTTCGAAATTCATCTGAGTAAAACAATATATATAAAAAAAAAACTCACTTGAACGTTTTTGGCACGGACGTAAGGAGTATCCCCAACAGGAACCTTGTGTGCCACGTGGAAGGAATCGGATCTGGTTCTGGATACTCCGAGAGGCTTAGCGGGTGAACATGGAGCAGACTTCGTGGGTCGAAATCCGGGTGGCCCGTTCCACATTTCCTGCATCATCTTCGTTTTTTAGAGAGAGAGAATGTGGAGGAAGAGCCTTCTTCAGATTGAGATTTTAGAGAGAGAGAGAGAGAGAGAGAGAGAGAGGGAGGGAAGAAGTGGAAGCAGGGGAGTGCTTTTTTAGACGGTGGCTACTAAGTAATTATTTTGAATTTTTTTTGGACCGTTGGAGATTACCGTTCTACAACTAGCCGTTGTGCTTTGGTTATTATTTAGGAGAGAGGATTATTATTTGCGTATCTACCCATATTATTCTTTTTATTTTTTCGCTGCCATTGTCGATTAATTTATAGGGGAAATTACTAAAAGGTCCTGATTAAAAAATTCTATATCTAACAAATCCCAGAATTTTTCTTTATTTCCGAAAGTCCCATAATGAATATATTCATACTAAATAGTCCTGATTGAAAAGTTCTATATCCAAACAATGCCCCAAAAAACTTTTTGCTATCCAAAAAGTCCCATAAATCCTTAAAGAATATGACCGTACTAAGCTTATTTAAAACATCTTATAAGGTCCTACATCTCATAAGATGTTTTAAGAGTTGATAAGTTATCTTATTTTTTGAATTAATTTTTAAAGTGTTTGTATAATGATCTTATAAGCTATTTTTACTCATTATAAGATCTTAAATAAAATTGTTGGGTAGAAGTATTTTTTTAAAAATATCTTTTTTGTTCTTCTCAATTAGTGTGTTTGTATAATGATCTTATAGGCTCATTTTAACATCTTATAAATTGCCCCTTTGGCTAAGCTTATTTAAAACATCTTATAAGCTCCTACATCTGATAAGATGTTTTAGGAGCTGATAAGTTGTTAGATCTTATTTTAGAAGTTATTTTTTAAGGTGTTTGGATATGTAGCGTAGCGTATAAGTTATTTTTAGTTCTTATAAGTTGTTCTGGTGTTTGGAAATAAAATGTCTGTTTATCGCTATAATGACAAAAAAAGTACATAACGCCATTATAACTATTAAACTTCTTTGAATCAACTTTTGTTCCTAAAATATTATTATAATATTTACAAATTAATTTTTCAAATAAAATGATAATTTAAATTATATATTAATATAAAATAAAAGTTGTAATAAATATAATTTTTTTTTATAGATACAAGAAATATAATTTATTATTGAGATAATAAGAATATTCGAGGATTTTATATACATATAAAATAAAAATAGAGAATAATTTTTTTTTATAATTATTATGATAATTATATTTTTAATTATTAATCTTGATTACAAGAATACGTTGTTTTGATAAAATAAAATGTAAATGTTATTAGTATTCATATAATAAAATAAAGTATTTAAGGGTAATTTTGTATTTTGAGTGTTTTAGACTTTTAGTAAAGAAGCAAATAAGATCTTAAAGAAAAAAGATGGGATGAATGTACTTTTTTAAAAATATCTTATAAACTCCCTAACAACTTATTTTGGAAAAAATAAGATATTTTGTAATTTTTTTACCAAACACCTTTTAACAGCTTATAAATTCTTAAATATTTTATAAGATACTTTTAGAAGCTTAAAAGCTTAACCATGCTCTAAATCATTCCAAAAAGTCATCTTATTTATTGGGGAAAATTACTAAATGGGATATTTTTTAGAAGTTTTCCTTATTTATTAGGGGTCTTTACAAATAAAACCATCAATTTGTACTTATTCATAAAGAGATCAAAACAATAAACTCCTTTACAAATAAGTTCACACATGGTCCAGATTTTTGTAAAGACTAAAATAGCTCCTCATACTTTAATATGCTCCAATTTCATCCTTAATTTAATTTAATCTCATTTCACCCCAAATTTCACTAATTATTCAATTTTGACCCAAAACACATTTTTATGGACAAATTCGTCCGTCACCGTCGTTGACCGCCGGTCAAACGCCATCGACCGCTGGTCTCCGCCGTTGACTTTTTTTTTTTTTTTTTTTTGTCTCCTGATTCTCCCGCCACTGGTTTTCGGCGTTAACTTTTTCGATTTTTTTTTTGTTTTTCTGTAACATTTCTTTTTTCTCGTTCAAATAGCAATATTGATGTAATTGACAGTAAAATAAACTATACTACAATTTAACACTGTAATATTGCTATATTAATCTCTAGCACAATAATATTAACATAATAATAGAGTAATATTACTATGTTGACCGTTCAACAAATGTAAACATAATAAAAAGCCAAAAGAATTAATATTACTATAAGTGACAGTTATATTACTATACAGTAATATTACCGTCAACCACAATATTATTGTGTTTACACTTTACAGTAATATTACAATAATAGACAAAACAAAAAACCCAAAAATATAATAATATTGATGTTGTTGACAGTAATATTATTGTGTTTACAGTTATTTTACTGTCAACGACATTAATATAATTACGTTGACTTGTCAACAAATCAAACAGAATAAGAAAAATAACAAAAAATAAAAAATAATAATATTACGTTAATTTACTGTCAACGGCAGAACAATTACATAAATCTATTGTTAACGGCAGTACAATTACGTTAATTAACTGTCATTAACAATATAATTACGTTAATTTATTGTCAGTGACAGCACAATTACGGTCAACATTTAGAGGCGGACGTAAAAAAAACACAAAAAAAACACTAAAAAAATAATAAAAAAAAGTCAACGCCGGAGACTGGCGGTGGACGCCAGAGAAAAAAAAAATCAACGCCGGAAACCGGCGAAAAAATTCGGAAGAACAAAAAAAAACGAAAAGTCAACACCGGAGACCAGCGGCATAATTTTTCTTTTTTGAAATTTTTTTATTTAAAAAGAAAAAGTCAAAATTAAATATTTGTGGTCAAAATTGAATTTTTGTGGACAAAATTGATCAAATTGGGGTTACAATTAAGAAATGAGTATAAAAGGGTTGGGGTAGTATTGTCATATACTTGAATGTTTCCTTTATTTATAATAAATATTAAAGGGATGGGCTTATTGGTGAAAGACATATAACACCTAAACCTACAATAATAAAGATGTTTGGTTAGGGTCTTATGCACAAAAACCCCTACTTATTATACAACGTTAAAATAAGGGCAAATGACACATAGGCCCACAATAATGACACTTAATTTAAAAAGGACGCCGGATATATGAAAGTCCATTTTTTTATTAGTTCAAACCCATATAAAGGGGTTTATTAGTTCAAGCCCGTAAATTAATCTAATTTTATTATATCAAGACCAAAGATGACGAATATACCCTTATCAATAAATAATACCTAAATACAAACAAACCCTATTTTTAATTGGGTAAATAGCATTAAACCACCTAAACTTTTTGAGTTTTTGCGGATCACCACCTGAACAATTTTTTTTTGCACAACTTCACCTATACTTAATTAATTGTGCCACTTTACCCTTTTTTGCCGGTTTGCAGGTCAAAATGACCGGTTCTCAACCCATGTGCGTCGCACATGACAAATCCAAGGCTATTGACGTCTTTTCCATTTTTAAAATTGAATAAATGTTAATTTTAATTTATTTATTTTATTTTGTTTTTGTTTTTTGAAATGGAATTTTCTTAAATAGAATAATTAAAAAAAGAAAAAGAAAAAGTAAAACGTCATCTTGTTCCCAGCAACTCAGCCTGGATTTTGAACCCATGGCTCGAAAACTCCGAACAAACCACCACCGACATAAACACTTTCTCGCCTCTGCAATTTCAAGGATTACCACCGCCGTCGCACCAATCTCACCACCCACCGCCCACCTGCGCACACCCGATCTCACGGTCGAGCGCCGCACACCTCCGCCGCGGCATGGGGCGGCCTCAATTGTGAGAATCTCATCTAATCCTCCATTCGTTGGAAGAAGATCTAGTCGATTCGGAGGAAGAAATCGAGAGAAAATAGTGTTCATATAACCTCAATCGGGGAAAGGGGGAAATTAAATGAACATTTTTGACCTAATTTTAGGTCCAATTTCAGTCAAGATGGCGGCGGATTTGAAGATGTGGTGGTGGTGGTGAGCTTCGTGGTTGTGCAAGAGGGCAGAGCTGGTTCCTGGTGGTGAGCGGCTGCAATATGAGAGAAATGGTTGATGAAAGTTGTGAGTTAGATGAGTAGGGTGGGGTGGTTGAATATGATATGCCGCCGCCAACGCCGTTGGCCTTGATGAGTTTATGAGGAGGAGCTATGTGAAATTAGGGCTGATTATCGACGGATAAATGGCGGCGTTTTTGTTGTTGTTGGTCTGATGATGGTGGTGATTGGGGGAAATAAAATTGCAGCAGTAGTAGCTATGGTGGATCTTCTGCTGGTGAACAAGACGAAGACCTTTGTTGTTTTTTTTTTCTTTTTTTTTTCTTTTGTTTTTTTCTTTTTTATTTATTCTATTTAACATTTATTCAATTTTAAAAATGGAAAAGACGTCAATAGCCTTGGATTTGTCATGTGCGACGCACATGGGTTGAGAACAGGTCATTTTAACCTGCAAACCTGCAAAAATGGGTAAAGTGACACAATTAATTGAGTATAGGTGAAGTTGTGCAAAAAAAAATTGTTCAGGTGGTGATCCGCAAAAACTCAAAAAGTTTAGGTGGTTTAATGCTATTTACCCTTTTTAATTTGTTCAAGACCAAAAAATCAAAAAACAAAAAGAAAAGAAAAATAAAAAAACCGTCGAGACGCCGACCATCGAGACTTCCACCGCGCCGGCGACGACCAGCGACCCAAGCACCGCACCACCTCCATCGCACCACCACAACCACCGCACCACCACCTAAGGGTTTGCGCAGGCCATAAACCCGCGGGTTCTATCAAAACCCGCCCTCGTCCCGTCAAACAACGGTTCTTGACTTTGAAGAACCAAACTTGTGGGTTTTTAACGGGTTTACGATAGGCGGGTCCATGACGGGTTTGTAGTAGGACCCAACCTTTACGGGTCGAAACCCGTTATCGTCTAAACTATTTCTTTTTTATATATAATTTATAAGTTTTACGGGATAATAATTAGAAACTAAAATGAATAACCTAAAATTTTAAATTGAAACCAAACATAAATAATGTAAATGTCAAGAGAATAAAAATTAATATAAAACTAAAAATAACTAATTCATAACTTAAAAAACAAAATTTAAATAAAATAATTATAGCTTTATCAAGCATAACCAACGCTATTCAGCTCCATTCAACACCATTCCTTTTTTTCTGCCGTGTGATGACCGTTGTATATATATGCTTTTTTTCCTACATTTTCTTAGAGATTTCCATAATCTTTATAGCTATTACTTCCACAA